GGGAGGAGGCCGCGGGCCGGCGACCTGCCGAGAGAGGAGAGGGCAGCCCTCGTGAGCTGCCTCTTCCCTGTCCTTTGTCACCTGCCCAGACCACAGCTCCGTAATACGTTGGCTTGGGCTGCGAGGCCAATCTGACGGATCCCTGACTTCAGTCTTCTCTTTCCCCCTCCTGTACAACAGCAACGCAGCTCTCTGGGAGGCCTGCCGTGTGCCAGATCTACAGGCCGATCCGGGTGAAGCGTCACCTTTTTTGATATGATAATTTTACCAGATCTACACTAATACCTAAATAATTTTGTTCCTGAAATGGGGGAGGGGGGTGGAAGCAGGACACAACAGCTTCTGCGTGGGTCCCTGGGTCCCCAGTAAGCATGCAGGGGTGTGCAGGCTGTTGGTGAAGCGTGATAATTCATTAAGCTATCACTGACAAAAAAATAGTCTCATCTTGTAGAACTGCAGCTTCAGAATTCTCTTTCAGATACTCGTCTTCCTTTGAGACGTGATCCAGCAACAGGAAAACCAGTGGTAATGACACTAATGCACCAGGAGAGGGTTTTAGCGTACTTTTAAAAAATCAAGTAAGAATGTGGGAAGTCAGTTGTATCTGTCTGCACCACGTATTTACTCTGCTCGTTTCATTAGCTGCTTAGTACTCTTTGGCAGCCATACCTGTTGCCCAAAGGCACGGCTAGATGATTTTGCAGCCAATAGCTGATTTTGCAACCAGAAAAGACACTCAGCCCCTGGGGTGCATCATTTCTCAGCTTCCTGAGAAAGATCTGTGCCCACAGGGCGTTACTGCCTTGGGAAGCAGCAAGTAAAATCAGAATGAAATGAACTGAGCTTATGTCTGGTCTGATGAACTGTTCTCACCTGCCAGAGTACAACAGCACACTTTGCAAGGGTGAAGAAAGCAGGCAGGCGCTTTCCCGCACTGCATCCCTCCCCACAAAGAGTACTTCAGGAACAGAAGTAGCTTAAGAGCTGCAGAAGAGCTGTGCTCCTTCCTCACTTATCCATGAGTGGACTCAGCACTAAAGAGGAGGGGTTTCATTCCCCAATCCTAACCAGTAAGTCACTTCTGTAATCCCAAAGACAAGGAAAGATGCCTGAGACTGTCAGAGCTATCTGCCGCTCTTGCTGTGCTAGCAGGGACCATGATCTGCGTCCCCCAGCTCCTGTTGGCAGTGGAAGAGGGAAAGCCAAAGGAAATGTCAGAGGGCACCCTTGCAAATGTCCCCCTTTAAGGACAGGGTGCCTTTGTTTGCTGCTTGCTTGGTTGCAGCCTTTGTTCAGAGTGCCCAGAGGGCTCCCGTGGGTGGCAGAGACAAGGCTGTGGAGAGATTAGTATCCCATTAGGATCTCGGGTTTTGCTTGCGCGTTCTGCTGGGACTCCCTATGCCTGGCTTTCAGCCGGCCGCTAGCCCAGGGATCGCGTGAGCAGCTGTAGTCACAGTGCCGTTCCTGCCTCAGGGTTCAGCTCCCACATGTCCCCGTTAATGAACAAGAGGGGCAGAGCTCCTTCTCCTGCCCTAGCTGTTGCTGGAAACCACGGACTAGCGAGCACCTGCTGGGCAAGCTGGGCGGGAGGATAGACCTCCTGGGACCCTAGCTCTGGGGGCAGGGGGTCCCCTCAGATACGCCCTCTGCATGCCAGCCCTGCCTGTTTGAATGTGGCTGCTCCTTATTGCTGCATATCAGCACACATGGCACAATAAAAGATTCATGGGATAAAAGTCTGGCCTCTAATGGCTAGCAGAGGCTGGCTACAGGGGCCATGCGCTGTGGTCAGAAGTGTTGGGTTTCATACAGAGGACCAGGCAAGGTGTATGTTTCTTATTCCAAAGTGCTCTCGTGTGTGGTCTGCACATACCATCTAATCTGTTTGTGGTGTCGGGAAGCCATTCTTTCTGTGGCAATTCCTTTTCAGTTGGCCCCAAATGCCGTCTCTTGCCTCCCCCTGCTCCTCGAACGAGCTCTGCGTGGCTGAATCCCAACTGACCTGCAAGTCCGCTCTGCCTCCAAACCCCAGGCACAGCAGAGATGCCGGGGACAGAAACAAGACGGAGATGCTGCGACACAGGAAGCGGAGCAGCACATCAACAAGCAGCTGGAGCCTGCTCAATGCTCAGGGAGCCAGAGGCAGCTCATCCTCGGTCTTTCCAAAACTCACTGCACTCCCAAGCATCAGAGTGAGCTGCGCGGCATCCATCCTTTCCACACTGTCAGTTCCCCAGGAGAAACAGCAATTATTTGGGGCCTCACTGAAAGCATACAAGGCCAGTTGGAAGAGGGGCCCGGAGAGGTGGAATCACCACCCTTACGAGTTTTTGAGACTCAATGGACAAACCCCAGGCAACCTCATGACTCTGCTTTGAGCAGGGAGGTGGACTAGTGACCTCCCAAAGTGCCTTCCAACCTGAATGTTTCTGTGGTTCCAATTGCTAAACCTCAACAGCTCTCCTCCAAGTTAGCAAGGAGTGCTTGAGCCCCTTGGAAAGCCAGACCCTCGCTGCCTTCAGGCCCTCACTGTCTTCACCTGAAGCATCTGTGAACTGACAGATCTAAAATTAGGGGACACACCTGGACCTTTGGTAACATGTGCTCCAGTCCCAGAGGCTGATTCAGAGCTCTTGAAACAGAGGCAAAACAAATATCTGCCCTGATACTATCTGCTTAACTTAGGTTTTGTTCCATAGCAACAGATTCACGGACACTGCTCCAAATACAAGGTGTGACTAGCATGTGATCAGCACTGCCCTATTGAACAATTAACTCTGATTTGCCAAAATCGTAGATGAAGGGCTCCAAGCTTGTTTTGCCACCAGTACCTGTGTAAGCATTAACCCCCCGTGTAAATCAGGATTATCTCACTGACCTCAACACAATTACTGCATGAAAAAAAGCTCAGGGTTGATCCTGGGTGGGGGGGAATCACCGATTAGTTTATAGCAGCCTTTGGAGTTAGGCTAATTTTCACTACATAACAATCTCACTCCAGTGACCTGGAACAACAGGAGCAGCCGGTGGAGGATTTTACTATACGCAAAGAAATGTCCTGTAGCCTCAGAGACTGGCATATGATCTCTGCAACACCTCTCTGCCTGGCAGGCGATCTCTGCAACACCTCTCTGCCCAGGTGCAGTGACGCAGTGCAAGAGAGCGTGCCAAAAGATACAATCTGGCTTATGTGGGCCCCCTGGTTTGGTGATCCTGGAATCTGATGCGTTTTGGAGCTGTCCAAAGGTTGCTCTGCAGCCTGGATAGGTCGAAGATCAGGAGATTCAAACCGCACGATTCAAACACATCTGGCTGGTTCTCAGGATTTAGTTCAATGTATTTATTCAGGAAGAAGCACTGTGTTTGTCAGCCATCTCGCTTAATAAAATGTTTCATAATACTGTTGTAATAGTCCCTTCGATTGGTGTGGCTGTGTACAGTTTTTCTTCGAGCCCATGAACAAGATTTTAGTCTTGGGAAGACTTTATGCTGGGGTTTTTGTCTCTGGAGAGGGCGTGCTGCGAGCAGGCAGGGAGCTCGCAGCATGCTGTGCATCCTGACTGGCATCACACCTGGGCTGCGGATGGGATTTGGAGAGAAAGGGTCACCTGCATATCTCTTTGAGAATTTCTGGGCATAAACAGAGTGACTTCTACGCGAGACGTATCCTGAGTGCATCACCCACCGAAGTAACTGGCAGCACCCGAGGAAATCTGCTCCAGCATGAACAACGCAGCCTGGCAGTCAGACGGTGGGAGAGGCAGAGCAATGCTGAACAATCATACCAGGCCTCAGGACGTGTCAGGCCTTGGCCAGTCTTGAACTTACTTTAGCTTGATTTTAGGTTTATCTGCAAAAATCATTCAAGAAACTTTTGCTGTGCCTGCAGCTTGCTCTCGGATCAGATGCCTGTTGTCTAGCTCGTCCTAGCTGTAACAGCCCCCGGTGGTCAGGTTCTGTGTCTATCGCATGCTTTGGAGCTTGTTTAGTTATATTATTACTTAAATTGCTTTAGTCTCAGTTTTGCTTAGCTTTGTGCAATTACATAGCCCTCCTCCCCAAAAGGCACCCTAGCACAAATAGGGAACGACTACCAAACCTGCGTAATCGTGGAGTTTGGGTTCATGGAGAGGGAACCTGGCACCAGCTGCCCCGACACAAGGAGGGTGCAGGCACTCTCAGGGCCCTCCCTTTCTCACCCTGCAGATCGGTAGGAGAGGCAGGAGTAGAGCATGGCCCCTCAACAAGTACAGGGTTGAGGCGTATGAAAACGTCCCTGGCGTAACCCAATGCCGAGAAGGGAGAAACGCTCTCAGCAGCGCCGCTGCGCGCCTCTCGGCCAAGCCCCGGGGGTGCGGGTGACTCGCCGTAACTACGGGCACGAGCCCCACATCAGGGGAAAGGGGCAGATGCTTGTGTCTATTGATTTTATTGTACTACTAACGATCCTTAGCACAAACCGGATGACTTGGATTGCAAGCGTTACTCCTGTCGCAACGGCACTAATAATAAAAGATTGTTATTCTTTGACTAGAGAGTGGAAGCCGTAACTGGACCGCCGTTCCCTTGGATGTGTAGGTAAGGCGTGTTCCCTTCTCGCCCATCAGGAAATTGTGCAAGCTCCTAACACGGGCAAGGGAGGTGATGGAAAAGCCTCCCAGCGGAAGGGCAAAGTTGCTCCCAAGGCAGCGATGGACCTTGATGAAAGGAAACAAACAAACGGCTCAAGGCAGACAGGAATTACCTGCGGGACGCGGCCGATAACATC